ATAGCTTTACTAAGTTAAAGAGTTGCAACCAAAGATGTGCTGGAAAAAAGAGGCTGTAATTATTCAAGAGAAAGTCCTTGCCCTGTGATGGGACAACAGCAAGGGCTGATGGCATGGCCCTACCCACCAAGGACTCTAACTTGTAAAAATACAAATTCATTGAAAGGAAGGAGCCTAAACTGAGAATGCTGTTGCAGCGTGTCTTAGCTTGGGTTTCTATTGAACACAACAACTCTTATAAAAAAACATTTAATTGAGGCTGTTTTACAGTTTCAGAGGTTTAGTTCATTGTCAGCATGGCGGGAAGCATGACCTTGCACAGACAGACATGGCGCTAGAGAAGGAGCTGAGAGTTCTACATCCAGGTCAGCAGGTAGCAGGAAGGTTGAGCCCAGTGACATACTTCCTCCAACAATGCCACACCCACTCCAGTAAGGCCACACCTCCTCATAGTGCCACTTCCTATGACAAAGCAGTCAAACACATGAGTCTGTGGGGGCCATACTTATTCAAACCACCATCCAGGGACTACTGGTTCCAGAAAGCAGCTGCCTTAGGAGGTTTCCCTAGGGTTAGTGCACAGAGGCTGCTGTAGCTGTGCTCCTTGGTGAACAGGCTCCACCCCAAGTCCATAGCAGAACATGGCAGTATTGTACACGTGGTACTTGTTTTGCAGGCAGGAAAGATGTGACATTGAAGATATAAAGGGACCTTGCGTCATGGTTCCAGAGAGCTACTGGCAGGCAATGTATGACAAGGTCGGAGCACCTGCAAGGAGGCTTATGCATACAGCTAGAAAGAGGAAAGCTAAGATGCAATGGGGATCTCAGGGTACCGGAGATGCTAGCACAATCAGTCTGTGGGTATCATAGGGAAACCCGAGAGCCGTGCTAGAGCACCAGAGCTGGGTGGGAGGAGCTAGCCATGTCCATTAGAACCCAGACAGTGTCGTCAGAAGCCCCAGATGTCGTGACGGAGGTTTTTCCCTTCCTTGTCTTGGGTTTTCCTTTGTTGGTCTGACCATTTCCTGGCATTCTCCCTTGCCTCCCTTTTGGAATGGGAATGCTTACTTTGTGCCATTGTATACTAGAAATAGGCAGCTTGTATTTTAATTTACATGAGCTCGCAGTTAAGAGGCTGCCTTACGTCTCTGATGAGATTTAGACTTTCTTACTGAGTGGAGACTCTGAAGTCAGACTGAATCCCTTAGGACATGACCATGAGCCTGTGAGACAAAGCCCGAAGGCAATGGCTTGAAAGTGATCTATGTGGGTGTCAAGTTGACAAGGCGCAGACTTTTGATGACTAATATTGATGTTCAAGTTGACAATATTTAGAATCACCATGGAAACAAACCTCCGGAAGTGTCTGTGAGGGATTGTCTACAGTAGGTTAGTTGAGGTGGGAAGGCACTCTAAATGTGGGCACCACCATTCTTGGGCTGAAATTCTGGGCAGAATAAGGAAGAGAAGGCCAGCAGGATACAGGCGTTTGTCACTCTGCTTCCTGACTCTGGATGCACATGACGTCACATTTTCCTCACTGTGACCAACTGTACTCCCTTTAAATCGTGAGCCAAAATAAAGCCCTTTCCTCCTCCTGAAGCTGCATTTTGCTAAATGCTTTGTCACAGCAACACGACAAGTAACTACTTCAATGACAGTGTTAAAGTCTTCCATTAAGTGATGTTGTTTGGGAAGGGTAAGGCATGGCATACCGCATGAGGCCAGCACTCAACCCAACTTCCTTCTCTTCCTTCCTTCCTTCCTTCTTTCCTTCCTTCCTTCCTTCCTTCCTTCCTTCCTTCCTTCCTTCCTTCCTTCTTTTCTCTCTCCCTCTCTCTCCCTTCCTTCCTTCCTTCCTTCGTTCATTTCTTTCTTCTTTCCTTTTTTTTTTTTTTTTGAGATAGGGTTTCTCTGTGTAGCTCTGGCAGCCTGGAACTCACTCACTCTAGACCCACCTGTCTCCAGCGCTGGGATTAAAGGCCTGCGCCACCAGTGCCTGACTTCAGCCCAAGTTTTTATCAGTCCCAAAGACACTGACTTGGCTCCTTCTTACAGGGTTGATACAGGGTCACATGTCCTTCCACCTAATCACTTCCAGTTAAGGCAGAGGCTAGAAGCAAGTGTGTAAATGATCTGTTTTAATTGGCTGAGGGTAAAGAATGTATTTAGTAAGATTGCAGGATATATTTTAAAATTCTTCTGGCTACAGAATTCACATCTCTCTCTCTCTCTCTCTCTCTCTCTCTCTCTCTCTCTCTGTGTGTGTGTGTGTGTGTGTGTGTTTCTCCACTTGTGTTACAAACCAACCTGAAAATTACAATTGGCTTCACAGAGACACAGGCTGTCTTTAGTAATTTATACAACGTTGAAGTCTCTGGAATTCAGTTAAGAATAGGACCACCCTATTGGTCAATTGGTTACAGTTTGGCTATGGAATGTCCCCTACAGGCTGGAGGGAGCTGTTGGAAAATATTGTAAAACCTCTGGGAAGTGGGGGTGTCTCTGGAGATTGGGCCTTGAGAATTATAATTAGCCCTAGCCTCTGCTTCCTGACTCACTGAGCTGTCAATAAACAGATTCCAACCCCACAGGACCTACTGTGAGATCCCTCCACCACAGGGCCGACTGTGAGATTCCCCTCACCATGGGGCCTACTATGAGAACCCCTGACCACAGGGCCTACTGTGAGATCCAGCCACCACAGGGCCCCACTGTTGCCATGCCTTCCCTTCATGACTGACTGTGCCCTCCTCAAACCTTCAACCCAATAAACTCCCCCTCTGTTAAGTTGCTTCTGGCCAGGGTTTTGGCTGCAGCAATGGGAAGAGTAACAGAAGAGCAGAATGTGCCCACACTGCACGCTTCCTGTCCCCTTGGTTTCACACTGCCTCCCCTTAGGAAGACACAGGGCATGCAGGCTCCTTATTGTTGGGTCTCACAACAGCCCATATTCCAGGCTGACAGGAGGAATTATTTTTAAATTGGAAATGGAGTAACAGGAGCCCAAAAGCTTGAAACAACTTAGAAGGAATTAACCCCAGATTCTGCATCTGAGTTACAGTGCTGGCCGCTAAGCGACCTTTATTCTGTGTTCTCTTTAAAAATTCTGTATCTGGAAGCATTTAAATGTGTCTTTGAGTGAAAAATTATCCATTGGTCAGATTGCACATATTCAGTGTCCAATAAATGTCTGTAAATGAGTGCATTTGTGAGATTTCAGGACAGTAAAGACTGTGATAAATGGAATAAGCCAGTTAATGTGTGAAGGGGACATTTTTCTGTATCTATAGTGCATTCTGAAATTATCTCACTATTTGGCTAAGACAACCCCAGTTAAACATGGCCTGTTAAAAACTACTGATCTTAAAGACTTATTTATTTTTGTTTTATGTGTATAGGCATTTTGCTAGTATGTATGTCTTGCACCACATATATGCCTCTTGCCTGAGGAAGCCAAAAGAGGGTATTGGATCCGCTGGGACTGGAGTTATAGCAGCTTCGAGCGGCCATGGGGTTCTAGGAACCTGGGTCCTCAAGAACGGCCAGTGCTTTTAACCATTGAGCCATCTCTCCAGCACCTAAGGGGCTGTGCTCTCTGTCTCCTGCACGCACAGCTGTACATAGACTTTCCGCTTGGACTAAACCACATTCTGCGCTGGAAATGTTTCTCCCCTCAGCAGCAGGCAGAGTGTTTTCTCTCCCTGAGGAACAGTTAAAAACCTTTCCATAACTTTAGTATTTGAAGTAGCTGAGTCAGATGAATTCTTGATAATTCCATACAGAATGATCTTCTAGTGCAATAGGACAGGCACAGTCTTCTCTCCTAGTTCTCTATGGAGAATATAATTTGATTGAACCCCAAGGTGATTCTGGGAGTGATGCCCTCATGTGGTGGGGCCAAGTTATAGAAAAAGCAGGATGCATCTATATTAAAGACATAGTATCCTTATAGCAGAAAGGAATGCAATATAACAATGCAACAGGCAGCTGAATGCCCCTGGGAGCTGAGAGCAGAGACAGCTTTCTCTGGGTCCAGAATGGTGGTCAGTGAAGAAACCATCCTTTTTTTCCCCCGGGGCAGAGCTCCTGGACCTGGCCATCATGGCTTGTGGGACTCCTGGAGGCTCATCTGCCAGTGGCCTTCTCTGCGGCAGACTGACATCTTCTATAGCTCTTCTTGTCCACATTCCATCGGCTTGGGCTTCCTCCTCATGGCTGAGTCTCACCCCAGCTGGTTTATCATCACTCTGACCTGGACAGTTGGCCATTTTCCAGTTCTCACTATTCACATGTTCACCTTTGCTTCCTCCTTTTAGGAGTCAGGCAAGAAAACGATTAACCCTCAGGTTCACAGAGAAATTTCCCCTAACAGCAAGTGCCAGTGCATTTGTAAACAAAGAAAGGAAGCCAATTCCCTTTAATGATTCCTGGTAGTGAATCAGTCAGCTTTACTAATACCTTCACACACAAATCCAAAGAAAGGCTTCCTGGCTGAAAAAGCAATACTTTCAGATCGGCTTAGTAGTTATTTTAAATCATAAAAAACCCCAACTCTACTGTATTCAACACTCTGGATCACGACATAGCCATGTCAATATTCCCTGAACCTGCAGAGATTTTTTTTCCTTAAATAAGATTGAGAAGTTCTCCTGAAGTATTACTCTGTGGGTTTTATTGCTATTGTTCTGTAAATGTGGGAAACCCTTCAGACTTTATCTTTCAATTATACTTGACATGCAACACTTGCTTCCAACACCCGTGGAAGAACTTTCAGGACCCCCCCCCCAAAAAAAAGAAAGCAGGCTTTCAACTTATTAAATTAGTGTGCTTTCAATTTCCCATTATCTTTACTTGCTCAGCCAGAGGTATTACAAGTTAATGCTTCTCCTCGGCTCAACCGAAAGTTGAAACCTAAAGTCATTTTCTGCTTTATTGACTTGCAGGTGGGGAAAAAATGACTCTGAAATTATCCTGATCATTAGAGAGAGTACTTACAATTTTTTTGCCTTCTATTAACACCGTGGAATTATTTGTTTCAACATTCCGCAGTATGACACTCCCTTTCCGTTCTCTGTAGATGAATTCTTTATCTACAAGAGGGAAAACAGAAAGGAAACATGAGCTACCCAGAAACCTGCCTCAGTGTTTGATGAGTGTGTGTGAAATGAATTGTGTACTTCGTCTCAGAGAGGGGCCCTTTAAATGCAGTGCCCACTTCCAGCTCCAGAAGTGTGCCCTCCAGGGATGCTCATCTCAGAGCCATCACTGCTCCACACAGACAGCAAAGCACGGGTGTGCAGTTTGAGTCTGTGTAGGACTTCTTGGGCAGCATACAGAGTGGATACACCAGGCAGATGGAATCTGCTACTACAGAGGAGTAAGGCAGTTAGAGCAAATGTACCGATGGCCTTCTGGATCCGAAACCATCTGTGGCCACACCCTCAGAACCAACTTCACTTTTGTCTGTAAGCTTCTGGTGTGGCTCTGGGAGGGTGCCTCAGGTTCCCGCTATGGACGTCTTTTGAATCTATCATCCGCAGTGTGAATCTGGTCTTTTCAAAATTCCCATTATTCTCTTAGAAAATTGATAATTAGGGGCTAAGGAGATGTTCAGAGAGTGAAATGCTAGCTTTGAAAGTATGAGGTCCTGAGTTTGAGCCCCAGCACCCACTTAAAAGTGTTGGGAATGGTGGCGCATGTGTCTAATGGCAGCAGCACTTGGGTGGCAAAGGCAGGTGGATCCCTGGGGCTCACTGGCTGGCCAGCCTGTCCAGTGAGCCCCAGACTAATGAGAGGCCCTGTCTCAAATGACAGTGTGGACAGCATCCTCAGACTTCTGCTTTCCAGACCTATGTATGGGTGTGCCTGCAAGCACTTGAGTGTGCACACGCGCGCGCGCGCGCACACACACACACACACACACTCACACACACTCACACACTCTCACACACACACTCACACACACACACTCATACACACACTCTCACACACACACACTCACACACACATACTCACACACACACTCACACACACACTCACACACACACACTCACACACACACTCACACACACACACTCACATACCACCACCACCACCACCCCTATAATAAGAAACCACATACTAGATAGCGTACAAGCGTATGCAAGTCTGCGCCTGCAGGGAATGCAGGTACAGTTTCTGTGGGGTGGAGCTGTGGGTGGAAAGGCAGGGCACAGCCTGGAGACCGGGAAAAGTGAAGGTGGCAGGACAGAGATGGCTGGGTGGCAAAGGCATTTTACACCAAAGAGCTGGCTGAAAAGCACCGTGAAGACTGCACCAATTGAAAGGGAAGTTAATGGAAGCCAAATGTGTACAGATAATGGGGAGAAAGACGGTTTCTCCATAGCCTGCCTGGTTCCAATGCAATGTGCTGTACGCATTGTGTAAATCAGACTTGAGAGTTTACTGCCGGGGGTGCAGACTGACCTGTGGGCGGCACTGTTTTCCTTTGTTGTCCTGACAATACTTCCTGCTCCAAGTCACACAACTTGTATTTTTCCCCTTTGGAGCAAACAAATCCTGATATATTTACCCAGTGGCATCATCACAGTGGGCTTAGTCTTCAATATGAGAAATTTTAAAGTTTCCACTTAGGAAAGCATCAGAGGCTGCTGCTTATCAGTTTTATATGAAGACTGCAAAAGGGATCACTACTTAATTTGACAAAACCCATCTCTCTTCATTTTCTAGCTTTCACCACGAATTTTTAAAAATGATTACTTTTATGCTGTGTGCGTGCGTGCGTGCGTGCGCGCGTTCGTGTGTGTGTGTGTGTGTGTGTGTGTGTGTGTGTGTGTGCCACCAGAGGGCAGAAGAGGCTGTCAGATCCCCTGGAGATGGAGTTCCAGGTGGTTGTAAGCTTATTTAACTTGGGAACTGGAAAGTGAACTTTGGTCTTCTGCAGGAGCAGCAAGCACTCTTAACCATTGAGTCATCTCTTCTGTCCCAGCAATGGGTGAATCTGGGACAGTCAAATCTACCTTTACCATGGAAGGTAACAGTGCTCAGTGACACAGGTGAGAGTCCCTAACAGTGACTTCTAACCCTGTCCACAGCACAGGCAACTTCCACCTCTGTAGGGAAGCCATCTCCATACCTGCTCAATAAACCTGTCTGATACATTAAAACAACAACAAAACTGCCAAAAGAAACAAATAAGCAAAAGACCCAAGAGAGAAGGAGGAGTGGGGGAGGGGTGGACAAGGGGGGAATTGGAGAGAATATGATCAAAATACATTGTATACATGTTTAAAAAGTTACAATGAGATTCATTATTATGTATATTCATGCAGGTTAGTAAAAACAAGGTTGTCTCCTGTATGTTTTCTGAAACACTTTTTATTTTTCCTCTCAAAAGTGAGCATTAGTTTGCATGTAAAGGACTTGTTTTGTGTTATGAGACAAGGATTGCCTTTGATCTCTTTACACCTGTAGCTGCCCCAGGAAATTCTGAGGTCATTACTCTCTCAGTGGAAGTCAAGTGATCCCAAAGCTACAGCAGCAACCTTTGCATTCCTGGGGTCTGATGTGGTTTTGTGTGTGTGTGTGTGTGAGAGAGAGTGTGTGTGTGTGTGAGTGTGTGTGTGTGAGAGTGTGTGTGTGTGTGTGTGTGAGTGTGAGTGTGTGTGAGTGTGGGTGTGTGAGTGTGTGTCCGTGTGAGTGTGTGTGAGTGTGTGTGAGTGTGTGTGTGTGAGTGTGTGTGAGTGTGTGTGTGTCTGTGTGAGTGTGTGTGTGTATGTGAGTGTGTGTTTGAGTGTGTATGATGTATATGTACACGAGTATATTCCTGCATGTGAGTTCAGGCATGCATGTACCACAGCAAAGGTCTGGAGGTGAGAGAAGAACCTGGAGTGTGTCCTCACCTTCTACCGTGGTTGAAACAGGTAGCTTCTTCTCTGCAATGTACACCATGTTAGCTGGCCTGCAGCCACAGGGTTTATCCATTCCATCCCGGCACCCCCGTCTGTCCCTTTGTCAATTCCACCTTCTGATGGTGTCTTTAGATTTCCAACAAGTCTTGGGTGAAGTGAGTCAGGCATGAAACTCCCCTGCTTTTCCCCAGTTGTGTTGCCCAGTCTACCTACACCCTGCTTTTCTGAAAAATTTCAAACTTGACCAGAGCACTATCGCAAGGAATGCACAGTTCCTCTTGAGGACTGCTACTGTCATGGCAATTCTGATTGTTTTCTTTTACTCTCACTTTAGCATTTAAAAATGTTTCTTATTAAAGTATATTCACTATATACAATGATGGGTTTGATAAAGACAATTTTCTTCAATTGGATGTCATGCACTTTGACTGGGGATGCAACTGGAGATTATATTGAGGGATATAGGTCAGACTCAGAAAGACAAATGCCCTGTGATTTTTTTTATCTGTGGATTCTAGATTACCTGTAGACTGGTCAAGCTGTTTACACTGATATTCTTGAAAGCTGAAGTGACACTGGGGAAGAAGGGAATATTAGTGTCCTAGTCACTTTTCTGGTGCTGTGATAATCACCACCACTAATGCAAGTTGTGTGTGGGGTTATTACATCTTATAGATTGTAGTCCATCATGAAGGGAGAACAGGGAAGAAACTCGAGGTGGGAACCTGGAGCAGGAAATGAAGCAGAAGCCATGGAGGAGTGCTGCTTACTGGCTTGCTCCCCATGGCTTGCTCAACCTGTCTTCTTATAGAACCCAGGACCACCTTTCTAGGAGTGGTACCTCCCATAGTGACTAGGCCTTTCCATATCAGTAATCAGTCACTAAAATGCCCCATACATATTACCACAGCCCAGTCTTCAGGAGGTAATTTCTCAGCTGAGGTTCACTCTGCCAAACCGACTCTAGTTTGTGTCAAATTGACAAAGAACTAACCAGAACAGTTTATTCCTCTGGCCCAGAAACTATTTATTTACATCTTCTTAGAGTCATGTCCACACTAAGGTCATTTTCAGTAGAAGGGTTTTGATCATCACCTAATACATCAGCCCTAAACTTTCTGGCATGGTATTGTAACAATCACTTAGCTGGTATTCGGCCATTTCTATTGATACAATATAAAATTAATTTTCATTATTGCAACTCAATCGATGTACTTTTTAGTTCTAGTACATTGAAAAAAATACTCCCTAAGAGGGTTTTCACTGTAAAACCAGGTCAGGTAACAAGGCTGATGTGCAATTCTCCTCAGGCCTGGTGAGCATCAGGGACAATGCCAGAGAGGCTTTAAGATGCCTGCTTGCTTTATTCTTGATGTTAGGTAGGGGGCAGCATTTCGCCATCGAGCTGCAGAGTAGCTGTACTTGTTCTCATGAGAAGCCTGGAGAGGCTGTGGTCTGGTATTGCTCAGTTGTGGAGATGTCTCACCTTGAAAGGTTGTTGGCTATTGCAGAATGCTTCTCTGTCAACACTGAAGTCACCATGTGAGTTTTGGTTAATCTGGTGATCTGTGTGTTTAGATGCACCCCAGGACCAGTCCCACTTTACATGCTGTAAAGTGCTTCTTCCCAGAATCCTAGTTCTAAACCCATGATGCTTGGCTCAGGCTTTGGCTCCTGGGACCATGGGAGATACTGGTTTTGGTCTTTTGCCTGGTTCTTGGCTTGCGTGGCTGTAGAGTAAGAGCATTATTGGCTTTATAACATGAGTTGGGGAGTATTTGAACCAGTTCTACTTTACGAGCAAATGTAGACTGGATTTGTGCATTTTTGTAGTCACATCATCTGGGCCTTGGGTTTTCTGTGGAAGGTTTGAGATCCCAGACTTAAGTTCTTCAATTGACACAGATATATTTACATTTTTCTATTTATCCTTGGATCTGTTTTGACTAGGTGAGTTACTCAAGAAAACTATTCACATGATAGAGTATGTAAACATCTTTAAAATAATGTAGAAAAGACATTTTTTTCTCATCTATAACAAAAGACAGATGAGCAATAGAAAAGTGGACAAATTAATAAAAAAAGAGTTTTATTGGAATAAACCTCCTTAGAGAAGAATCAGAGAAATGGGAAAACGTGTGCCTTTATACGCTTTGGGCTGATGGACAGTGGGCGAGGAT